CCTCTCTCTTATCATCGTCTTTGCTGATTTTGAAATTAGCCGATGATTAATAAAATGCAGCTCATATCTGTTGCTTTCGGTGACGTGCACTTCATTAAATCCGCATATAGCGCGGGAATTGAAGATCGGATTTATATCCGTTTTGCAAAAACACATTTATGTGACCAGGTGTAAATGGAATCGTTTTGCTAAACCAGATAGCTATCCGATCTGAGAAAACGCATGAAGTGGCCAGGTGTAAACAGCCCCTAACTCAGACTTACTATCATAGGTCAAAAAACAAAGCCTTCATCATTTCATGTTGGAACATTCAAGGCCTGAGATCATCCACCTTTGGCCTCAAAAGCAGAAACCCAGATTTCAACTCAGAAATCAAAAACTCAGACATCATCATCCTACAAGAGACATGGAGCAGAGGAGATGAACCCATCCGGCTGCCCCAAAGGCTACAGAGAACTCATCAGCCCATCCATTAAACTGCCTGGATTGACACAAGGAAGAGACTCAGGAGGCATGCTTATTTGGTACAGATCAAATCTTGGCCATGCCATCAAAGTAACTAAAACAGTTCAATTCTACACATGGTTAGAAATTAATAAGTCATTTACTGCAACTGTGATGAAGACGAGCCCACCAGCTTGTCTTCAGGAAGAAATGTGTGTCTGTTTTGCATGTAAAAGGATGGCGCACTCGCAGAAGCACTTCGTGCAAGGTGGAATTTATTTCCAGTGCCAATAAGAAGACCGTCCACAGTGAAGTATATACAGTATATACAGGTGTGCACAAAAGAAAAGGGAAGATCCCTAAAAAGTACAATAATAACAAAATAAAGATGAAAACTCTTTTAAATAAAACGTATCTACTGTACACAAAGGTTTTTGTTTGCTTGAGGCACCCCAGTTGCACTCTCGAATCCGACTTGGTTAACAAGTCCAGACTTCAGGTTTGGCTTTGGTTTAAATAGGCCAAACCCCGCCCTTTTTGGCCCACCCTGCCCCATACCAATTCCAATAACATCTAACAATCACTACACACCAATACATCTATTTGATTATCCATAATAATCCATACTAATTAATTCCCTTTATATATGCATATATATATACCTATATGCACATAATAACACACACTTTCTTTATTTAAATACACACATGAACACCTATCCACACTAGACAATGGTTTTGTCGACTTCAGGTTTTGATGCGCTGACGCGGCCCAGCCATGACGTCATAAACAGCCACCGCTTGCTCGTTCGGTTCAGATTTCCCCGCCGGAAAACTGACTACGTCCACACAGACAAACAACACGGACGAAACGACACAACAGTGCAGTGTAAGTGTATGAAATGACTGGGGAATGAATATGGAAAGGAGATTGGAGAAATGGATGGATGTCCGTGTGCTATCATCATTGCGTGTGCACCCACTTCTATGATAGCGTTAATGGCGAGAAGGAACAAGACATAGATGAATGAAGTGAGTATGTAAGGGTGTATGTGGGTGTGCCAGTGCTGCTTTCCCAGCGGGGGCAGCTAATGTGACTTTATCACAGCATTGGAGAAAAACATCCTCCTCTGTGCCACTTATATCCCTCCAGCAGAGTCTCCATGTTTTAATGAAGACAGTTTCTCCATTCTTGAAGTAGACATTAATTACTTCCAGTCACAGGGAGACCTGAATGTCAGAACAGGTGAAGAACTGGACATATTGAACTCTAAGGGGGACAAACACCTGCCTGGAGGAGACTTCCTCCCCACACCTATTCAAGCACAGAGACAGAATTATGATAAAACAAAAGCGGAACACATCTTCATCTGTGATAGGTCTGTTCCTAGTCAACGGCAGGCTTCGAGGAGACTCCTACGGTAGAAAGACCTACAGCTCATCTTTCGGTAGCAGTTCAGTCAACTATTTTCTGACAAACCTTAACCCAAACTCCTTCAGAGCATTCACAGTCAGCCCACTAAACCCCCTGTCAGACCACAGTAAAATAACCCTCTACTTAAACAGAGCCATGCCCAACCAAGAAGCATCTAAACAATCCCAGCTCCACTCACTTAACATGTATAGATGGAAACAAAACAGTAAAGATACATATCTAAGTACAATTAGTCAACCGAAAAATTCAAGCCCTATTAGATCAATTCCTTGCCACTCTTCCCCGCACAATTGTGAAGGTACAAACCTAGCAGTAGACAAGCTGAACAGAATATTTGAGGTATCAGCAACATTATCCAACTTAAAAACCACAAAAAGAAAACTGAAAAGACCGCATGCCACTGAGAAATGGTTTAACAATGACTGCAAAAAAACTTCCTATCCAACCAGAAACACAGAGATGCTGACAATGAGAACATCTCTATCACGAAAAACTTAAACACTATAGGAACACTTTAAGAAAGAAAAAAGAACAAAACAGAAAAAGTCAGCTCAGGGAAATTGAAGAATCCTTAGAATCCGATCAGTTCTGGAAACATTGGAACACACTAAACAAATCCTACCATCACAAGAACTAGCTATCCACAATGGAGATGTTTGGATTAACCACTTCTCCAACCTCTTTAAAAATGTAAACAAAAATCAGGAACAAAATACCGTGTATGACAAACTAACGGTTTTAGAATCAACCATCAGAGACTACCAGAACCCATTAGACACTCCAATGACACTAACCAAACTATTAGACAAAATCCCAAACTTGAAATTACAAAAAGCCTGTGGTGTTGATGGCTTACTAAATTAAATGATTAAATACACAGACCACAAATTCAAATTAGCCATTCTCAAGCTCTTCAATATCATCCTGATTTTAGGTACATTCCCCAACATTTGGAATAAAGGTATTACTACCCCAATCTATAAAAACAGAGACAGATTTGACCCTAATTACTATTGTGGTATACACAGCAACCTAGGTAAACTCTTCTGCAACATCCTAAACAGCAGACTAGCCCATTTTCTCAGAGACAGAAATGTCCTGAGCAAGTGTCAAATTGGCTTCCAACTAAAATATCGCACATCAGACCCATATATACACTCTCCATACCTTAGTTGATAAACTAAATAACGAAAAACAAAAGTACAATTTTCTCATGCTTTTTGTTGACTTCATAAAAGCTTTTGACTCCATTTTGCATGAATGTCTTTTTCTTCAATAAATTAAATGTGGCATTGGAGGAAAAACATGACATCATGCAGGTAAAATTGCTAACAAACACAGACTTCCTCAGAGTCGTGGAGTGAGACAGGGCTGCAGCTTAAGACCCACGCTGTTCAACATCTAGATAAATGAGCTAGTGAGGGCTATGGATCATTCTACAGCACCTGGTCTTACTCTACTGGACACTGAAGTCAGATGCCTTCTGTTTGCTGATGATCTGGTGCTGCTGTCTCTCTCTAAAGAGGGTCTACAGCAGCATCTAGACCTTCTGCACAACTTATATCAGTCATGGGTCCTGGCTGTTAAAACCCCAAAAAGACTAAAATAATGATTTTCAAAAAAAGACCCAGCGCCAAGACCAACATCAATTTGTTTAAAATTGGACAACATGGTCTTCGAACTCTGCAGGACTACACTTACCTTGGCATAAATATTAGCAATACAGGAAATTTTAAAAAAGCTGTTAACAACTTGAGAGACAGGGCACGAAGAGTTTTTTAATGCTTTTAAGAGAAATATCCAAATTGACATCCCAATCAGAATTTGCCTAAAAATAATCAAAACAGTAAAAGAGCCCATCACGCTGTACGGGTGTGAACTGAACGGTAGTGGACTGTCTGTGGTCCACTCACAGACCAAGAGTTCACTAAATGGGACAAACACCCATTAGAGACTCTGCAGACCGAGCTGTGCAAAATATTGCTTACGAGTTCAGCGCAAACCCCCCCAAAAAGGCCTGTAGAGCAGAATTAGGATTATACCCCCTTGTAATGACTATTCAAAAAAGAGCCATTACCATGCCCACTGAATAAATAGCGATGAACAGACCCTCCATCACAAAGCCCTGACCTAACAAAAGCTGAGGCCAGAGAACAATGCCCTCGGCCAATTGGTCTTAGAGCTCACGTCACAAACTGACAGTAAAAACATGGCCATACAAGACCAAATAACTAAAACACAAAAAGAAAAATACCTTAAACATTGGACAGACGCAACAGCCAACCAGAGTAAACTCGAATGCTATTTGGCCCTAAACAGAACATATATGAATTGGCAGGATACCTGAGCACAGTGAGCGACCCTAAACTGAGGAAAGTCCTGAGCATGTACAGACTCAGTGAACACAGTCTGAGGCAAGCAGGCTTGGCTGCCGAAGAAAGAGCGACTGTGCCCTCACTGCACAGAGAACCAAGTGGAGACAGAGCTTGCCTTTTTGACATCCTGCCCCAAATATACAAACATTAAAAGACACTTTCTATCCCCTTTTCACAACCTACCAGAAAGACTTCCATCAGAAATCTAATGGATAAACTCCCACTCCTGCTTAGAGAAAGCCCAGCGAGTTCAAATCTGGCTGCCATACTTGAGGTCCTGTCACGAAGAAAGAGCCTCCAGCAGGACAGAGCTACAAACTACACGCATAGAGACATTGTGTAAATATTAGAAGATTTAACATTTTTATTTCCACGTAAAAAAAGACTTTATTTTAATTTTTTTTAAAATTTTATTTTTAGAATTATTTACTTATTTGTATTCTATACTGTTATGAATGCTTTGGCAATGTAAAGATTTCTTTCCCCATGCCAATAAAGCTATTTGAATCTTGAAAAAAAAAATCTTGTGTGAGTGTCAGTAAGTGTCTTTGAGTCTGTGTGTGTGAGTGTCAGTGAGTGTATCTGAGTGTCTGTGAGTCTGAATGTCTGAGTGTGTTTGTGTGTGCCCGATTATCTGAGTGTGAGTATGCGTGTGAGTGTGTGATTATGTGAGTGAGACTGTGTGTGTGTGTGTGCTGTCACAAGAGTTGTGATGAATATTAATATGCCTGTGTGTGTGTGTGTCAGGCGCTTGTACCCAGACATGGCGTTCTTCCAGCGTCCCACAGAGTTTCCCTGTCAGCTGATACTGGATCCTCAGAATGAGTATGAGACGTTGCGGCGGCGTGTGGAGCAAACCACGCTCAAGTCCCAGACAGTAGGCCGGAACCGCAGCGGCGTCACTAATGTAAGTGTGTGTGTGAGTGATTGTGAACAGACCATGCTCAAGTCCCGGACGGTGGGCCGGAACCACAGCTGCGTTACTAACGTGAGTGTGTGTGAAGCAGACCACGCTCAAGTGTGTGTGGTTGGGCGGGTAGAGACCCGGGTTCGAATCCACTGGACTATCCACTGGACACCAATGTGTCCCTGAGCAAGACACTTAACCTCTAGTTGTTCCAGAGGCGTGTGACCTCTAACATATATAGCAATTGTAAGTCGCTTTGGATAAAAGCGTCAGCTAAATTAATAAAAATGTAAAAAAAAAAAAATAATAAAAAAAATAAGTAAGTCCCAGACAGTGGGCCGGAACCACTGGGGCGTCACTAATGTGAGTTTGACTGTGAGTTATAAGTGTTGACGTGTTGTAAGAGTGAGTTATAAGTGTGTCTCTGTGTGTGTGTGTCGGTCGGTCGCCGGTCGTGTTTGTCTGTGTGTGTGTGTGTGTTCTGATGCGTCTGCTCTCCCTCTAGGTCAGTTCTCCAGGGAAGGCCTTAAACCTGTATCCCTCCAACGAGTACGAGGTGCTTCCCAATGGATGCGAGGCGCACTGGGAAGTAGTGGAGCGGATCCTCTTCATCTACGCCAAACTGAACCCGGGAATAGCGTACGTGCAGGGCATGAACGAGATTGTGGGACCAATCTACTACACCTTCGCCACCGACCCCAACAGCCAGTGGAAGGGTAACCCTCTCACTGCTTTCTAAACAGCAAAAATGCTTTTCTTACTTAATATGTTCGTCTTGTTTCCAGTCAAAACATCTAAACATTCTTAAATCAAGAAGCATTTGCTAGAGAAGTAAAATGACAAGAAAATCTATCTTGTTTTCTGATATAAAATAAGTAAATCGAGTTTTTGCTTAAAACAAGAGTTCCCCAGTGTCCCCCAGTGTCCTTCAGTGTTCCCCAGCGTTCCCCACCGTCCCCCAGCGTTCCCCAGTGTTCCCCAGCGTCCCCTAGTGTTCCCCAGTGTTCCCCAGTGTTCCCCAGTGTCCCCCAGCATTCCTCAGTGTCCCCTAGCGTTCCCCAGCATTCCCCAGTGTTCCCCAGTGTCCCCCAGCGTCCCCCAGCGTTCCTGAGTGTCCCCTAGCGTTCCCCAGCATTCCCCAGTGTTCCCCAGTGTCCCCCAGCATTCCCCAGTGTTCCCCAGTGTTCCCCTGCGTTCCCCAGCAGTCCCCAGTGTTCCCCAGCGTTCCTTAGTGTTCCTCACTGTTCCTCACGGTTCCTCACCGTTAACGACCGTTACTCAGCGTTACTCGCGTGTTACTCGTCATTACTCAGCGTTACTCGCGTGTTCCTCTGCTTTCCTTAGCGTTACCCAGTGTTCCTCTGCGTTACTCTGCGTTACTCAGCGTTCTTCAGTGTAAAGTTCTTAACGGGTCGGCCCGATGGGACCTGCAGGTTAGGGCCGGGTTCGAGTCGAAAATATAAGTAAATGACTCGGGTCGGATCTCGGGCTTAATCTTTTGAATTGTAAAGTGAAAAAAAAAACATTTATTATTCATCGCTGCTGTTCACTGTAAAGAAAGTCTGGCTGCTGCGTGCAACGTGCATCACAAAGGCAGACCTGATGCTGCGTGCACGCCTTTAGCATGGAGAAGAAGATAGAGATGGTGAAAAGTTAGCTCACCGCAGGTGAATTCACAATCGCTCGGGGGTGGCGCCAGATAACTTTTAACGCAGGTGCTGAGGGGATGCTAGATCATTGACAGAATGTGCTCCAGTTCACGTGCAATGCAATCGTGCCCGCGCCTCCATATCATGATCATATTGTCTGCAATATTTGCTTCTTATTTATTATATCCAGGGAGTTGGTTTATGAAAAAGTCAAGTCAAGTCAAGTCACATTTATTTATATAGCGCTTTTCACAATACAGATTGTATCAAAGCAGCTTTACAGTGATAACATGAAAGTAGTACAACACAGATCAATAATATTGCTAAACACCAAATAACCCCAACTGAGCAAGCCAAAAGCAAGCCAAAAGCAAGGCGACAGTGGCAAGGAAGCAAAACTCCATCAGATTGGATGGAGAAAAAACCTTGGGAGAACCCAGGCTCAGTCGGGGGCCAGTTCTCCTCTGGCTTACATTCATATTGTTTATATATAAATATTAAATATAAATATTGTTTATGTATAAAACGGCGCCATAATATATCGCAGGCGTTGAGTCGTCTCTTCACAGGCGTTGGTCTTCTCATCACAGGCGTTGGGGCATCCGAAATCCCCATGAGAGGCTGGAGACAAAACTGGACCTAACGAACGCCATTTTTCTCGGGACAAGTGTCCTGAGATAACAGCAGAAAGGCAGATGGGAAATAATTAGCATAGCTGATGTTCAAAAATTGATTAAAATTAAGATACAATTTATACAAAACGAAATTCACTTTAAGAAAAGGCTTTTTACAAAACAAAACTTAATTTAGTGGTCAAAATCATGTCTGACTCATCATATCTTCCAAAATATTGCTCATCTTACTCACGCTGTTCAATTTTCATAATCAGCATATCAGCATATATATATATATATATATTAGGGGTGTAACGGTACATGTATTCGTATTGAACCGTTTCGGTTCGAAGCTTTCGGTTCGGTACGCATACAAACCGAACGGTTGTTTGGACTATTTTTCCTGCCGGCAAAATTCGTGCTGTCGCGGCCAACACAACGTTGCGCAACATCAAATGGCAAGCGTAATGAAAGCAGAACGAAACTGCGCTCCTCGTTATGTGCTTCACGGATCGTTTATCAGTTCAGACCAGCAACATCTGTGCAGCGCGAGACGATCTAACCACACCGCGCTAAAGAAAACATTTGAATTCGCCACTGAGGTAATAACATCGCTGCGAGATCTAGTGAGATGCATTCACATTTCTCCGTTATTAACCGTAGATCTCTATTAGATCAAACAGCGCTGTCATGGAAACCAGGAGAAACATTGTGCCGTGAATGAACTAGTAATACTTTACGTCCACCAGCAACATTCACCATGGATTTAATATAGTAACACTAACTGGAACCAGTCTGGCTGGAATGGTGAAATGCTTTCAAGTACTTCACACATCTTCCAGCACTTCAAAATTCAAACATTATCTAAATAAATATATATATAAATGTTATTTTTAATGTGATGACCAAAACATTATTTGTTCATCCTTCAAAGATGACCCCCATTTATAAACCTGAAAGTTTCAAGATCTAGGAAAACTCACACTTATTTAAAAATATTTTTTCTTTAAACAAATAGCATTTCTTTCTTTTTGCTGTATCGAAAACGTACCGAACCGTGACTTGAAAACCGAGGTACGTACCGAACCGTGATTTTTGTGTACCGTTACACCCCTAATATATATATATATATATATATATATATATATATATAAACATTATAATATTTTAACAAAGATTAAACTAAATGCGCTTATTTAATGGTTACAACACATATAGTGGGCCTATACAGACTATATAAATATTGAAATTAACAATGTTAATATGTTAAATATAAAATGTTAACTAATCTAATTAAGTGTTCACTTTTTTTATTCACCGATTCAGAGGTCTCGTGAGTTCAGTGTTGGACAAGTCAGTAGTTTTAACCATTCATTAAAGTGGATGGTTAAAATCAGTCATTCGTTTGCGTATCGGACGTCTAGCCACGGTACGCTTGTGTGATTATTTCGGCAGTTTAGGACATCGCACAAGATTTGTGTCAATGAAAACATTTAATCACTGGATAGGTTTTTTCCTTTATTGAAATGTGGTTTATGTCAGCTGAATGGGTGGAATGCTTTTTAGAGAAGATAAGGCAATGTGTTTTTTTTTAGCACAAGTCACACACCGCGGTAATTCAGGAGAAAAAAACTCTCCAAATACTCCACGTGAAAATGCGGTCTTCCGACGTTTTAATATTGTGTCAATTGAGTTTGAGTAGTATGTGCAAGGGAGAGAGAGAAAAACAGCACTCGTGTTGTTTGAAGCATGCGCGCTTGCGGCTGTCAAGCGCAGCAGTCATTCTATTCTACGTCACTCACCGATCAAAAAGGGCTTTGGCGGGACAAAAATTTGAGGAGGGTTGCGTCAGGCAGGGTTAGCTATTTTTTACAGTCTATGGGTTCGAGCAGATAACTCATGTTGATGTGTAGGGTTACATCGGGTCCGGGTCGGGTTGTAATTTTCAGGCCCGTTGAGAACTCTACCTCAGTGGTCCTCAGGGTTACTCGCGTGTTCCTCAGCGTTCCTCAGCGTTCCTCAGCATTCCTCAGTGTTCCTTAGCGTTACTCGGCCTTTCCTCAGCATTCCTTACGCGTTCCTCAGCGTTACTTGCGCGTTCCTCAGCGTTCCTCAGTGTTCCTCAGCGTTACTCGTATGTTCCTCAGCGTTCCTCAGCGTTCCTCAGCGTTACTTGCGTGTTTCTCAGTGTTCCTCACTGTTCCTCACCATTCCTCAGCATTACTCGTGCATTCCTGGCTTTCCTCAGCATTCCTCAGCGTTACTCGCGTGTTCCTCAGTGTTCCTCAGTGTTACTCGCATGTTCCTCAGTGTTCCTCAGCGTTTCTCTGCGTTCCTCAGCGTTACTCGCGTGTTCCTCAGTGTTACTCGCGCGTTCCTCAGCATTACTTGCGTATTCCTCAGTGTTCCTCGGGGGTTTCTCAGTGTTCCTCAGCGTTACTTGCGTGTTCCTCAGTGTTACTCGGGTGTTCCTCAGAGTTCCTCAGTGTTTCTCAGTGTTCCTCAGCGTTACTTGTGCGTTCCTCAGTGTTCCTTAGCGTTACTCGCGCGTTCCTCAGTGTTCCTCAGCGTTACTCGCGCGTTCCTCAGCGCTCTTTAGCGTTACTCAGCATTACCCAGTGTGTTACTCGCGCGTTCCTCAGCGTTTCTCGCGCGTTCCTCAGTGTTCTTCAGCGTTACTCACGCGTTTCTCAGTGTTCCTCACTGTTCCTCAGTGTTACTCGCGCGTTCCTCAGCTTTCTTCAGCGTTACTTGTGTGTTCCTCAGTGTTCCTCAATGTTCCTCAGCGTTCCTCAGTGTTCCTCAGCGTTCCTCAGTGTTTCTCGCGCGTTCCTCAGTGTTTCTCAGCATTACTCGTGTGTTTCTCAGTGTTCCTCAGCATTACTCGCGTGTTCCTCAGTGTTACTCACGTGTTCCTCAGTGTTTCTCAGTGTTCCTCAGGGTTACTCGTGTGTGTTCCTCAATGTTACTTGCGTGTTCCTCAGTGTTCCTCAGTGTTACTCGCGTGTTCCTCAGTGTTACTTGTGTCTTCCTCAGTGTTACTCGCGTGTTCCTCAGTGTTCCACCAGCGCTGGAAAGTGTTTCTAATATTTACATTTTCTAATATTTTCTAATATTTACTTTATCCTAAAGCTCTGGCCCAGACATAACCTTTTATTTTCCAGTGATTTCTTCTGAGCTTTTTTCTCTTTTGAATTGTGTCATCTCTATTTCTGCAGTCTTTCTTCTGTTCAGATCTCCCTCTTGCTCGTTCACTCTCCTCTACCGTCAGTCCCCCCCTAATGCTGATTGGCTGCACGTTTGTTGTGTCGGTCCGACTAACATCCAAACTGCATATTTCAAAAACGACTAACCCCACCTTTAAGCAAAAACTTACTTAATTTACTTTTTTTGTTTATCAGAAAACAAGATAGAATGTCTTTAGAAGAACTAAATAGAAGATAGAAAAACTATGTCAGTTTAGTTCTTTAGTAAATGCTTCTTGATTTAAAAACGTTTAGATATTTGGACTGGAAACAAGACACACATCCTAAGTAAGAAACCATGTTTTGCGGTGGATTGTGTGTATTAGTCCTAGATTAGAGTGTCTGTGCTCTTGCGTCTCAGAACACGCAGAGGCCGACACATTCTTCTGCTTCACGAACCTGATGTCTGAGAACAGAGATAACTTCATCAAGAGCCTGGATGACTCGCAGTGCGGCATCACCTTCAAGATGGAGAGCGTGTTCTCCAAACTCAAGGAGAAAGACACCGAGCTCTACATGAGACTGGTGACAACTTTACTTTTCAGCCTTAATGTTTTGGTGAAATTACATGTAATTACTTAAAAGGGTTTTCCATTTGAGCATCTGACACTTTTTAACCCTGTTCTGATGATTATTATTTAGAGTTATCATGGCATAAACACACAGTCTACTGAACTAAAAATCACTTTCCAAATTTATATGACAAAACAGAACTGCATTATTGGGCAATGAAATGATTAATCGCATCCAAAATGAAAGTTTGTGTTTATATAGTATATTAGTGTGTACTGTGTATAATTATTTTGTATATATAAATACACACACATGCATGTATACATTTAAGAAATATTTGCTGTTATTTCCTGATAAACTAGAGCAAAATATCATGTTTTGTTCTCTTCGACATTTATTCACAAATCTTTAATGCCAAATTCCACTTTTGCACATTTGCAACTTTGAATGGAAACACAGATATTGATATTGTTTTGACTGTTATAATAACCATCTGTCTGTCTCTCCATCTGTATGTCTCTCTGTCTGTCTGTCTTTGTCTGTTTGCTTTCATTTGTCTGTCTGTCACTCCATCTGTCTGCCTGTCTGTCTGTCTGTCCATCTGTCTGTCTCTCATCTGTCTGTCTGTCCATCTGTCTGTCTCTCATCTGTCTGTCTGTCTGTCTGTCTGTCTGTCTGACAGCAAGAGCAGAATATCAAGCCTCAGTATTTCACCTTCCGCTGGCTGACGCTGCTGCTCTCTCAGGAGTTCCTGCTTCCAGATGTTATCCGGATCTGGGATTCGCTCTTTTCGGATCAGGATCGGTTTGAGTTCATCATCCCTGTATGCTGCGCCATGCTCACGTAAGATCATTCACACACACACACACACACACACACACACACACACACACACACACACACACACACACACACACACACACACACACAGGCTTCAGACTAGAGTTGTTCCAATTCTGATAAAATTCTGGCATCGGTATAGGCCTAGGTCACACTTCCTGCTTCCAGGAACGCGGAGTTGGGATATAGAACTTCCGGTCAACAGTATTTCTCGATAAGGCTTTAGATTATCAACCCTAATGTCTAAACCATCCGAGGTAGACTGACCACGAGCTATGAGGTTGTGAAACGAAGGTTTTTGCTCCTGTTGAAGCTATAATTTTGTATGAAATCAACCTTGTTTAAAAAAAAAGTGTTTTTTTTTACAATCCTAAGCGTAATGACTCTAGTTTTTCATGAATTTTCAATGACTCTACTCTGCATCCAAAACCGAACCCTTCCCCACTATATAGCATGTGAATAAGTAGTGAATCTGAATACATTTGTAAACCAGTCAGCGAAAGGTCCCCGGATGACCCGCTACCTCCTCTGAGATTTTGAAGTGTGCATATGATGGACTATCTGCTATCCCATGAGGCCACGGGAGTAGATTTGTGACGTGTCACATGACAGTAACAACATGGCGAATGTAGTCCGTCATAATTGCATTCAAACTACCCATATTCATACAGGGATGTGATTTTTCCGGATTAATCCGGAATTCCGGATTTTCCAACCTGAAAATGTGACCTACGTGAATCATGCAGATCTGTAAAAAAGAAGAAAAAAAAGAGGGTGACGGGTGTCGGCAGCCGGAGTGAAAAGGAGAGAATATGAGGACATAACTGGCTGACGTGCGTACAGAAAGTTCCTTTCAAAGTATCAACAAGGACGTATTTGTGTTCAGACAGAGAATGTCTAATTGGTTCAGCTTGTTCACCTGCTCAATTTCGTATCTTAGTCGCTCTCGCGCTGGTATCGTTGTCAGTTGACAAGAACATCATCACAGTTAGGTCACCAGGGCTGGACGATATATCGATATATTTCACATTTGCCCTATGATCCTTGCTCCAAGCAAGGTGCTGACTGCTTTTGTAGAAATATGTATATCGTGCATTCTGTCAATTGTTCTCCCCCATCAAATTTTGAATTTCGTAGATGTGTTTTCCTGCATTCTGGGGCATTTTAGGCCTTTGCTCTTTGCCACTTAATACCAATAGTCTAAAAATGCAATGTTAATTGAACTGCCATGTAGAAAATTAAATGCATCAGTCTCGTGATCTTTGAAATTAAGAGCTTCAAGCCTTCAACCCATGAACTGCTCGTTAAACAAAGATAAAGCATTGATTTGTACCAGGACAATAAAGAGGGCTCAAACATCTTTTTAATTATGAGCGTCTCAGTCTACATTACATTACCAATGGTGTTTTAGGATGCCAAACAATTATTATAATAATGTAACAATGATTTATATAATTATTCCTATGACATAAAATCCATATAGCCTATAAATGTACTATATAAATGAAAATGAATATTTCAAAAGTATATTTTAGTGTAAATTACACTACAATATAGGAAAATGTAAACACTTGCAAGAAATAAATCCTTGAGCTTTTATTTAGGAGAAAACACCAGATAACCATGAAGATCGCGTAAGCAAAGTGCACACGTTTCTCTAAATACCCAGCAAAAACAGAATGCCTATTCTTAAAGTCTTGTGCTGTTTTATGAAGGCAAAAAACAATATCATGGTTTCGATTTTAGTTCATTGGCAAAATATAATGCTAGAGACCTTCATGATAGTATACATTTTACATCTCATATGTTCGGCAAAAGGTGGATTCGAACTCGAGTCTGATCAAAGCTCTTTTCCCGAACCACACGCTCTACGATCTACGCCACTACAGCTGTTCCTTGACGGGTGTGTTTTAGCTACACTTACTGCAAATATAGGCTACGATATGTTTTATCAGACCAGCCTTTGCGGCCTCGAAACATTGACCATTGACATGGCTTGGTATATTTTCCTGCTTTTTTGTCCTTAGCCAATCACATGCCAAATACAACATACTGTTTAACAGCAAGTTTAGATGTAGTACCGACTCGCACACTGTGAGATTTTGGATTGCTTTACAGCTAAAACAGAATTTGTCTCATATTTGAGTTTGATCATTGATGCTGATTCCCGTTTATGACTGTGAAACGCTCTGGACTGTATAACACGTCCTCAGTTAGTTCACATTGGCTGTTTTTTCATCTGTGCTTTAACTCTTTGTGTTTTTGCAGACTGATTCGAGATCAGTTACTGGCTGGAGACTTTACAACCAACATGAGATTACTGCAGGTAACAAACACGCACTCTCACTCACTCTCTCTCTCTCTCTCTCTCACACACACACACACACACTTTGTGAGGACTCTCCATAGAAGTAATGGTTTTTATACTGTACAAACTGTATATTCAATCCCCTTACACTGTCCATACCCCTAAACCTACCCATGACAGGAAACATTCTGCATTTAAAAAATAAATAATAAAAATCATTCTGTATGATTTAAAAGCGTGTTTACCCATAAAATTTAGGTCCCATTAAATTTAGGTCCCCACAGTGACACGAGTCTCCATGAGTGTGCATTCAGGTTTAAGTCCCCACCGGGATAGAAACAACTAAACTAAAACTCTCTCACACACACACTCACACTCTCTCTCACACTCACACACAAACACACACACGCACACACACACACTCTGTCACAGCCTTAATAATGAGTAACAATGAAGGAGGAGAAAGTATTTTCGGCGGTTACAAAATGCTCTCTTTATTTTCACATTCTTCAAACTATTATCAATACGCTGCAATGCCGACCAACATCTCAGTCCTGGCCAGGGATCGAGGTAACAGCAAGGAGGACGCCAAACACTGAGGACACCAAACAGGAAACTCTTATCGATTGGCACACCTGTGCACTGATGCATCCAATCCACCTGATTACCCCCTAGCTCTGCACACACACACACACACACGCCAGAAAAGACAATACAAAGTACAGCCGTGACACCCACCCCTTAAGAAAAGGAAACGTCGCTGGTTACTTACATAATCTATGTTCTCTGAATAGGGAACGAGATGCTGCGGAAAGCGCAGTGGGATATTCTCTGAATGTGCCGATTGAAGCCCTATAGAATCACGCCAATTCATTGGCTGATGGCGCTCGGGCAATCTGGCCCCGCCCCGACGCAACCACGTCGCATACATCATATACGCGCACGCGCCATCCTCCCCGGAGGTAAACTTCTCCTGCAGGATTTCCAATACTGAAGCGACAGGGCAGTTAACTGGGTTCCTATCATGTGCCAAGCACCATGTCACGAAAACTTTCCATTTGGAAGAATACAGTCTCCTTGTAGAAAGGGCTCTAGCACTAGCGATGGTCTCCTGAACGTTAGTTGGGAGATCAAAGCCTAATGCCGACGGCCTCTGATCGGCCAAATGTACAGCTTCCACATGTCTGGGCGAGGATGCCAAATCCTGCCCTGAAATTGGGAAAGCAAATCCTCTCTGACTGGAATCCTCCAGGGGGACGATTCCAGCAGAGGAATCAACTCCGAAAATCATGGCTGAGACGGCCAAAACGGGGCTACTCCGCTCTCCCTCACTCTGGCCAGGACCGCCTGGATCAGTTTGATTGGCGGGAAGGCGTAGAGTTTCTGCATTGGCCAAGGGTGGGCGAATGCATCTATCCCCAACAGAGCTGGAGGATTCAGGGAGAACCAGAGCGGGCATTGGGATGACTCCTTCGAGGCAAAGAGGTCCACTTCCGCTTTCCCGAACACCTCCCAGATCATGGCCACTGTCTGACGGTTCAACATCCATTCCCCCGATTGGAGTATCTGCCTCGAAAGGAAATCTGCTGCGAGGTTCAGAATCCCTGGGACATGAACCGCTCTCATAGAAAGGAACCTGCTCTGAGACCATAAGAGAAGAAGACGCGCATGCCTGTCCAGGGTGCGAGATCGAGAACCCCCTTGCCGGTTTACATGGGAAACTACCGCCATGTTGTCCGTTCTGACAATGACATCGTGCCCCTTCAGAAAAGGGAGAAAATGATGTAAACCCAGAAAGACGGCTCTCAGCTCCAAGCAGTTTATGTGCCAAGCGAGGGTCTCACCCATACAGACCCCACACGCTGGTCTGCCCTCGAAAACTGCTCCCCAGCCAGTTAGAGAGGCATCTGTCGTAATCATCTGGTGATGGAATTCCGTACCCATACTGAACCCATTCCGTAGAAAAAGGGGGTCCTGCCAAATTGACAGGGCATGAAAGCAACTGTGCGACACTCTCAACAGGCGAAGGGCTGGCCCAGTGGGTCGGATCCCTGAGAGCTTCATCCACCACAGGAAGGGCCTCATGTGGAGCAGACCCAGGAGTAGCACAGGGGAGGCTGTGGCCATTAAGCCCTGTAGCCTGCGGCAAGTGCCCACAGAAACACGATGGCCTAGCGAGAAACGGGCCAAACATGTCGTCAAACTGGAAATCCGTGCAGGAGCCAAGCGGGCCTAGCCTAGAAATCTAGACGCACCCTAGCGGCAGCAAAAATTATTTTAGCAGCAAAGTGTGGTCTAGCAACTCTCCGTAGACGTTTGAGCTGGAAAACCCCAACTCTGGTAGGGCCAATCACATCGTGTATAGAGTCGGAGGGCGGGCTTAACATAATGATGACAGAGTTGCGACGGTCAGAGCAAGCTCGGACATATTCGGTTTGAAGTCATTCATCCTCGGATGCGGCCGGCGCCGCGCACGCTGTTACAAAAAAGCTGTGGCGAAATGATCAACTTGTCATATTTGCCGCGCTCGTGCTGTCAAGTCGAGTATAAAGGGTTTGTACGGACCTCTCCCGAATCATCTCCACCACCCCGAAGCACCACTACTCCGGCTCCGTTTCCCTCGTAAGCTGATATTAGTATTTAAACATTCTCTATGATATTATTTTTTTTAATGACATACTGCCTCTTTCTCTCTCATACATATGTTGGCTAGTTATAAACTCTTAGACTTTTAATGATTAGTGTTTTATTTTTAAAGTTTGTGGGTCGTGTAAAAAAATCCCTTATTTTGGGGATGGATTCCGGGAAATCTCCCATATTTGCAATGTTCAATGTTGACAGCTGGACTTGATACGGTAAAAGTTTATCAACTTGCTCCGCTGAGTACGTCACTGTCTTTGTTGCTCTGATTTGCTTTAGTGCTATGCAATTGCGTGCAGAGAGAATTTGAAAGACAACCGTTTATCCCGCCCCTCGGATTGAGCCCTGTCAATGAAGAGTTTCCAGACCTAACATATTGATGTAAGTCTGGGATGCCAGGCTAAAGCGGGCCTGCATAAGAACAGAATCCATGTGCACCCCCAAGAAAACTGTGTGCTGCAAAACTGGAGAGTGTAGCCGAACCGAACTGTGCGAAGAATCCATGGCGATACCCCTTGTAAGCGTTCCCATTCTGGAAAGAAATGTGAAAGAGGAAGAGGGGTGTTGCAATGCAGACGACATACCTGAGTGAGGCTGTCGTGTTGAAGATCGTAGAGTTGAGAGGTTGTCTGTGTAGGAGAGCACTTGCCGTCCTGACACGCAATGTCTGCTCCAGAGGACAAAGAAGAGTGTTTCTGAGGAAGCGACTGGCAGTTAAAGAGTGTGTCGGTATAGGGCCTGTTCTTCGAAACACCCTGGGTGGCGAAGGAGACAGGGTAAGGAAAGTAGAGCTGGTTGGAGGTGGACAGAAATGCTTGCGCGGTCTGTCCCAACCTCGTGTATGTTTTTCTGACCAAAGCATCAGGAGCGGGACGAGGCAGCTGGGGCGGACGGTTTGTCGGATCGCTTCAGCTGCAGACACTTGTGAGGTCGTTGACGGGAACGGGCGACCGGGCGACCGCGGGCTCCCCAAACTGTAGAAGGTGGGGGATGCGCTGGGTCACTTCTCCTGGAAGAGAACTCTGCTCTATGAGAATTACGTTCTCTAGGTCTTTGGGCAGGGGAGGGAACGGAGGATTCCCTAACTCTCCTGGGCATGACATGTTTAAGCGCGGCCGATTGAGACTAGGAGGCACGGAATTTCTCAACCACTGTGTTGACCGCCTCTCCAAATAACCCCGACTGTGAGATAGGGCATCAAGGAGGAAAACCTTCTCCTTATCGTGGATTTCAGTGAGGTTAAGCCATAAGTGGCGTTCCGCAGCAACCGCGCCTGCCATAGAGCGGCCTACCGCACGTGTGGTATGTTTGGTGGCCCTCAAAGCCAAATCCGTGGCCATGCGAAGCTCTTTCACAGCCTCAGGAGTCACACCACTACCCTCATCCATCTCCTTAAGGACATCGGCCGGGTAGGCCTGAAGGATGGCCATAGTGTGAATGGTCATGCCTGCTTGTCCAGCCACCATGTAGGATTTTTTCGATGAGAGAGGAAGAAGTTCTACATGCTTCTTCCGAAAGATTGTTCTTTGATCGCTTTCTGTATAATTTGTTCAGAATTTAAATACGATTATTTTCATCCTACTAAAAGAAATGATGTGAAGTTGATATTTTAGTCAAAAATTTTAGATATTTAGGCTTGACTTACTAATGCATAAACAGTATTGAACGATTTTGAGAGAAAGATTAACTTGCCTGTCTGAACTTGAACAATTAGGCTACACATCTGAAATTGTTGCTTGGTAGCTCTATCGATTTTCAGACGTTCATCGAGTTGAGGAAACAGTCGTCAGTTAAATGTTTGGACCATACAAAACATTGGGAAGTTGTGCATTTCCAGAGAAAGTAAAATTAACCCATTGTTTCTTCAGAGGCTCGGATGAAGGAACTAAAAAATACTTTTGTGTTCAATTTGTACATCCGAACACTGATCAACTGCCATGCTTCGCTCGTTTGCAAGCCATGATATCTCTCGAGGAAAAACTTAAATCTCAAAGCTATTTCTCTAGGAAAAACTCAAATCGCTCGTGCGTTTGTACTTCCTGGCTCTTTTTCTCATGAGTGAGCCAAATTCTCCGGGCGGGCAAAGCAGAGAAAGGGGAGGTAACCTTTCCTCGTTATGATGTAATAACGAGGAGATTCAAGATCAGCGCGTCTGAGCTGCAGAGAAGTGAAAAATAGCCAAAGCTCAGTTTACACCGATTGAAAATTCTAGACACGAGGGGACCAAATACAGGCTAGGGGAACTAATATTAATGTTAAGGCAACATCTCACAATATTGGCTTATACTGATGCCCTGGACAGCGCGTCGGCCACTACATTTTCAGAGGCCTTCACATGCCCGCCTACATATACTTTGAAATGCTGGAGAGCCAAAATT